TAAACATTCTGCACCTATTGCTCAATGTCTGCCCTCTGCAGTTTATCCTTGAATCTCTAACTTGGAAACTTTTGCTGATGCGCGCACAGCACAAAAGTTATTACAGCATAAGTTTAGTGCGCATTTCAATGGCCTGAATACGGAATGGCATTGATAAGAAGAATGCAACAATCGGGCAGAATTCGTGAGATCGACTTCAGCCTTGCCGGCCACACTAATCGTATACTATAGTATACTTCTTGTACAATTTCATGATTGACCAGCTCACAAGTTCCTAGTTAAGCCACTGCACGGGCTAAAGAAAAATGAGCATTTCCACCGAGCAAAATACTTCAAGTGGCGATCTAAGGCGCGTGGCTGGAACCTTTCAGGAACATTCAGGTTCTTTTGGGAAGAGTGCCATCGCTGAATCATCCCGCGTAAAATCTAGCAAATACGCGAGTCAGAATGATCCATTTGGAACGATGAAAGGACAAGGAGTAGCTGGAGTGAGAGCGAGAGAACCGAGAGCGTCAGCAATAGAACAAACATCCTTCAGCGATGGCCCCCGCACTTCTCCTTCGTCGACATAGATAACGCGAATACTAGCTGGTAATGGTAGAACTGTGGTAACCTTGTCAAATCCATTGGGAACAACGCGATTTGACAGCACAGTCTCCAGCACAAGTGACGTCCCCGTAGGAGATGAGGCCACCCATTTAGACCTCATGCTCGATGAGCGTAGTTCGCACTTCTTATCGCTTTGATCGATCGACCCAATAACGAGCAATACAAGAGCATCAAATACCCTCTACAACGCAGGAAAGGATTAGCAAATATGGAACCATAACTACTATTCGCATAGATTTTAGTCAAACTGCGGAATCGATATTCAGAACCTCTCAGTTATACCAACCTAATTATTTCATTATGGAACTGTTGAGGAAACCCTGGAAAATATTATCACAGCTGCCAGTAAAGGACAATTTAGAGGTACAAGTTCCCTCAAGATTTCTCAGCTAGAGTCATACCATTTTTCGCGTCCTGGTAAAACGTTTCCAAAACAAAAAATGAGGAATTGGCGGAACAACTGTCCGTAAAATAAATGTGAGAATATAGGCCAGGGAAAGAAGAGATCACTCAGCGGAAAATGTGCTAGTTGGTCTGGTAGCCAAACATTCTACTTGAATGTAGAACTGTAAAAAGCCGAATGCGATGGAGAAATTCAATGTTCTAAAAACCGCCTCTATCGCAGGACGCTGCTCTGCCATGATTAGAAAAGGCATTATTTTTCAATCACAAGTAAGCAGTAACCCTTCTCAAAGCTGTTCGCGAAATTGATGGAATCATGTAACAGGGGAGAAAAGGAGCTGAGATGTCGTGTACATGCTTCTTTGTAGTCGAACACCCTCCCTTCCAAAAACGAGAAGAGCATCGGATGCAGACCATACACAAGTGACGACGCTCTCGAAGTAAATCTGGTTAGCAATGGTTCAAAGTGATAGCTTATTTGTGGTAAATATAGTTCAATTAGTGACAACTGATAGAATACAATTGCGACAGGTTAGTCATTTTATTAGCGGAAAATATTTATAATTTTTGGAGGTCGTCGTCGCTCGTGGTGTATGGTCTGCACCCGACGCTCTTCTTGTTTTTTTGAAAGGGAGGGTAAGCAATACTGCATCGTATCCTAAGGACAAATTACGAGATTATAGCGGGAAGCTAAACGTGAGGGGCCATTCAGAAATGGCTGGGTGGACAGAACGTGCTATGCGAGGAGCCCAGTGTTAGGCCATTAAAGGGAGTGGAGTCAGACACTCGAGACCGGTTGAACACGCACGCATGCAAACACAGACAATCACTACAGAAAAAGCGTTGTCACCACCGTAAGTGACTTCATCCAAATCAGCGCCGTTCTTTACCCAAGAATGGTTGCTTGGTCTAACGGTCGGCCCGTAGTTCGGGCATCGCGGCAGAGGATGATGATGGAAACTAATGATCGGCTCTGATTGCCCGAGGATGAAACCGGACCCTTCAGCAAATACGATAACGGAGGTCTCTTTAAGCAGTCGTGAATGAGGATGCATCAGGCTGACCGGCGCCGGTCAGCCGCCGATGCGCTCACATCGAGCAAGTTTCGCAGTGAAGGCGACTATTTAGGGCTAGAGGACGATAGTTAAGACGTGAAATATGCTCAGAGAAATGAGGGCGAGTTTCTGCAAGATGTGCAAGAGGTATAAAAAGAAGATAGAGAGGACAAGTAGGAGTTTAGACGAATACCAAGAGATACCGTGAGTTCCCAAGCCCGAGCACACTCCTCAGAACTTTGATCAAAATAATAACAAATTCCCTCATGCAGCAGACAAAGGAATAAAATTAGTTGCAGAACGTCATAGGAAGGCCGAAAGGAACCAGAATGGAATACCATTAGACATGAATAATACGTTGTACATGCGTTGCTCTTCCGTTTTCGCCGCTGCTTCCGTCCAGTCCACGATTTCGTCGCATAAGTGCTTTTTTGTGGGAAAAATGAGACCCATCGAAAAATTGCACAAATTCATTCATTTGCAAAAAACGATTCTCTTCCTTGGTCCAACCACGTTGTGCGAGAGAAGACAAATGGAGAAATCAATCAACAATAATGAGGCACATGCCAGGTTCACAGAACCAATTGGGCTCTGGGTAAACCCGTTTCTGGAGACTAATGGGATTTTCCAGGAGGGTGAATGGAAGCGAAACTATGCCAGAACTAAGTAAGTCTACTGGCCAAATGATGTCATGGGAAACACCAATCGCTGTCTCCTGAGACGAATGTGCAGCGAGGGAGAGTGTCCTGACTGAGAATGGGTCAGCGTTACAAGGCGGAATTGAATCGGTAGCTGAACGCCATAAAATCGGTTTATGACTCTCAACACTTCTCGAATCGCGCACTATGCGAAACAGCATCCATCAGTTGCTGGCAAAACATCGACTACTGGCGAAAATGATGAGATGAGAGGTGAGAGGAAAAAGACAGGTATTTCATGATAGACTTAATTACTGTTGTTGTTCAGCGGGGTCGGCGATGACGGCGGCACTCATGGGAGCACGGCGTATAACCGAAATTCGAACAAGTTGTTCGCCTCTCAAGTTATTTCTGCCCCGCTCTGTTCCCTCGGGGACACCTCCGCTCAGGCATGACATGGGCTCAAGTCTGAGGAAGTTCGAAAGAGGCAGGGCGTCGCATATGAGAGATCTGCAGTACATATTTAGAAAGGAAAATAAATCGGAGATGTTAGGAATATTTCGCAAAATCACGGAAACTGCCACATTTTTGGAAATTTTACGAATAAGGTTGTGGCAACCCAATGTGCTTAACCCCCCCCACGCACATCGAAAAGTTGAGGGAACTTGGGGGCAGAAGATTTTAGAATAGAGAAGTGAAAGGAGTTATGCCGGAAAGGTGTCACAGGTTTAAAGACAGACTCCAGTTGGAAGAGGGAGTCGTACTGAAGAATTTCCTCGACGGCTTGGCCTACCCTACCTTCGCAGGCGCCAAAACAGCATCACATTGTGGTCAAAAGAAAATTTAACATCGATGAAATTATTCGGAATGAATTGAGAAGCAGTGGAAAAAATCAATATCAGTGGAAAAAATCAATATAGTACAGATGACTAATACGCTGATTCTTATAGTGTTGTACGAAACACGGTGTGCGTTTACCGTTGCGCCTATTTCTGTTGGTGCGTGGCCGTTTGGAGGGCCGGGCTGGTTGCCACGCCCATGCTCAATGTTCTGAGGAATATATTGTAGCGGTTTATAGGCCAATTCAAACTTGTCACACTACAGATTGATTCACAATTCAGAACTGGTAATGCCAAATTGACTACTGACTAAGGCGCTGATTCAACTGGAAAGGGTGGAACCAAGCGGATTCAAATTTCTCGGCTTGGTCACAATGGTTTAAGCCATGAAGCCGCATTCGATGAGCGCGATTAATTTATTTTTATGAGGTCCTAGAAGATAATGGCTACCGTCTTCGTACACGTCGTGCAGAGTGCGACTGCACTATATATGAATGCACGATCAAAATTATTCAATACACATAAACTGGGAATCAATCGATAAAATAGGGTGTTTCGAGAGGCTGCGGGGTAGAAACCCTGTAGTGCTGTGGGGTATCACGAACTAGTTCTCAGCCATGAAAATAAACATGAGATCCACTGCGATCTACACGATTCGATAGCAGCAAAAAATGAGAGCGCAAAGAAAACGCTTTTCTCAAGTACATCGCGTCAACAACTCGACGCAGACTGTTTTTGTTGTAGAGAAGGAAACAGCGGGGTGTGTTGGTCGCTTATATGTGAACTAGTTAGTGCCCACCATGTACAGTCGCCCGTGTCAACTCTATCACAAAACACCAAAGCTGAGAGAGAGAAGAAAGCGAATATCGTATGTGTGAAAGAGGAGCCGCGTGTCAAACAAAAATCCGGACAGAACTTGAAAAATCGCCGAAAGTGGTTGCGTATGCGTAAGTGTGTGTGTGGGTGCGATGGAGTGTGGGCTGAGGAGGGGGTGTTGTGAGGAGGAAAATAGCGAGGAATGAATGAGGGCACTGCGCACCAGCCCATTAGACGATCGATCGATATCCGCACAGGTGGGGTTGAACGGACGGCTCAGGACTCCCACTGACCGTAAGCTATATGACATCTGTTTCTGATTGGTATACGGTTACCATAGAACGAGCGAGATCGAGTTCCAGGCGATATGTCAGCGTTATTGACCGAGAATGTCGATGGTAAGCGCAGCATCAATGAAAAAATCGTCTCGGCGTCCACTTTTCTGAGAGACGAAATCGATCACCCTAGAGAAGTCCTGTTGCACGAAAGAATGCATTGGGAACGAATGCTTGTCGGACGGCGTCTTCAGAGCTATCGAGGATCGGCCAGAGATGGAAGCCATGACAGGAGGCTATCGCGAAAAGGATAGAGCCGCATAATGGCAGAGACCAGAGCTCATACAATTTCTTAGTCGCTATGACTTACTTTTCAATCCATTTGGCACGCTCAAGCGGTGTACGGCACGCGTAGTATGTGTTGGCGACACGGAAACAGTTCGGTACATCTAGCACTGACGGATGAACTGGATGTAACCTGGCGTCTTCACCTGAAAAAAAATAAGAAAAAAAATCGCCATGACATTAGCCTCAATTTGCGCCACCCACGATGGGCGCTGACACGCTCGCACGGATAGCACCGATCTTTGAACCACCACATCGACACCCGGGAAGAAGGTGACGCGTGTAAAAATGTTACGCGAAACCGGGTCAATGGGACCCTCCGTCGAACGTTGTCGAACGGAACGAACAGGGCGATTTCATTCTCAAAACGTCATGTTTGTCAATCAATCACCTGCTTCCACTGTGTCACTACAATCACGAGAATGCGCCTGTCATCCTGAATCAGGGGTTATGCTAACCACTTTTTTACGATCTGAGCCAGATATGCTTTACCCCCTCTCCTTCTGCTTACTTAGAATTTACTACTTTGTATCATGAAGTTTAGAATCTTGATGATGTTAAATTTGAATGAGCCTTTCAATTACATGACAACTTCGTGTTCGCTCTCAGAAGGCCTTGTCAGCAAAAATACTTCCACCTCACAGAAATTTCTGAAAGTGTTACAATCAAGTCAATGTCAGTGACAAAGTGATGTGGTTGACAATCACTTGTTCGAAACATAAAAGTGAAATGTACTAGTGAAAACTTGTTGGGATATGTTGGGTCTGTCTAGTCATAAACCGGAAATCTGAATGCGAAGCACAGTACATCGCTACCGATTTAAAGACACATTTCACCAACACAAAAGTGTGACTATCTTCCAAAAATGGAGGTATAAATGGAAAGGAGACCACCAGAAAAGAAGAAAGTGAAATATTGCCAAAAATTGGAACAGAGATCTCCTTTGTTAGAGGTGGGCATGCTACGGCGGGAGACATTAGGCGCCTAAGCAAGACGGAACGAGCAATGCAGGCACTCCGCTACGTAGGTCGTTTGGTCGTTGGGAGAGCACAGTGAGGCTCATTTCTGCCTGACATTCCTGCCTACGCTCGAGAAGCAATGCCTCATGCCTTTGTGGACAGCTCTATCCTACTCACGGAAGGAACTTATCCCTAGGAATCAGCGTAACACTTGGTCTCTAAAGGCAAGGTATAGGGTTTCTGGCCGAAACTAAACATTCCCCAAGGAGAATGCAGTGGGATGTGAGTGGCAAGCATGTATAATCTCTTTTCAACTCCCGGAATAATTTGTAAAGACCAAGGCGCTAAGACCCTAGGATGCAGCATTGGTCCTGCTCACCACCACTGAGCCCGCCCAGAAATCAGTGATAACTCTCGTCACTGCTACTAGAATAGGAGCCATTATTTTCGTTTTTGTCGACGGTTTTTTACTTCGCTTTTTTCACTACTGACGTTAGACTTCACATCTGAACTATCATTTGCAAACGCAATAATAATACATTATTTCGATCCCGGACTTTGCCTTCAAACAAATTCTATAGGTATAATCTATAGAATTTTGACCTCTTGATCCTAAAATAAGGAAAATTCCAGCACGAATAGGGTCGCTTCCGAAATAAAACTCAAATTCACGCATTATTCATCATTAAATACCAGTTTCTTTTGGTCGCAAGCACGATGTAAAATAGCTTCGGAGTGTATCTTATGCTTGTTCCCTTTTTCAGTAGAAAAACATGTCACTCACGATATTAGGCATGAAGGACAAAAAATTAAAGCATACATCGTTTATAAATTCCCTTGTGGAATGCGCCACTCACCAAACTTTCACTGAAAATCCTAATGACGTTTGAAGTCAATCTGACCTAGGCAATGACTTTCAAGAGCCGTGTGATGCAAAAACAAGCATTTTCGTCCTCTCAGATGGGTCTAATACCAATTACCCGACCAGTGAAGAAGTGGGCGAAGCTTCGTTCTGGTTTCGAACTGACCCGGAACGTTTGGCCCGGCCGTGGCTATATAGCGCAGACTGCCCTTACCTCACTTTAGCACATTGACTGAGGGCAAATTCTGAAATTGTTACGCCTCAACTGGTCGCATTTTGAAGCTTCAGCTTCACTCCTGGTTTATTTAGCAGAATTCATTAGCGCCCACGATCTCACACTCGTCACGGTGGATCGTAAATTATGTTTAGCGCCAACGCTACTTTTCCTTTCTTTGGCTAAGCTTGTAGCCTGTCTAGTTTCTTCATTCGTTAAGCACTCGAGCACTCCAAATTAGCATAGTGATAAAGTCGACGAAAAACAGAGACCACCTACATTTAAACACGTTCCACGTATCAATTGATCACAAACAGGGTTACCGACTGAACTCATCGGAACGTCAAACGAACACAAGGAAGATCACTTGCGCGATGTTCAGACTTTTCAGGGAAGCTCGGAACAGCGGGACGATGAGTTTCGTGCCCTTCGAGTAGGAGACCCTTGGACAACTTGGTATACGACAGAAGCGAACAGAACCTTTACTGGCGTCCGTTCGAGAATTCGAAGAACAATGAGACTGCAGGTGATGTGAGTGATAAATATTGTACTCCAGTAAAAAAGCAACACTTTTTTAAGGGCAACGTTGGCTATGCACTGTCTATTATCATGCCCAAAATTGGCGTTATTCATGAAAGGGAAATAAGAGCTGGCCATTGGGAAGCTACCCCTTTCATTCGTTAGGATTTCTCATGTCTATTCTTCACCTTCTTACCCTGCTGAGAAAAAGCGAAATGAGCTGAAGTGATGCCGAAAAGGAAATTGGCCAGAATACTACATTTTGTTGTTTTGTATCAGTTCAGGCCCAAGATCGAGATAGCCTCTCACTGCCCTAAAAAACGACCTGCCAGGGTTGAGACATGAACATAAGAATCTATAGGCCTAGAGTTTTGGGAAAAACATTTTCTATCCTTCCAAATGACTCTGCAATTTTAAGCACCATTCGCGGTAAGCCAGGATCTATGAGACTGAATTTTGATCGTCACCAGAGGACCATCCCATTTTTAATGCGTAAAACAAATGCGTCGCCGTTGCGATGCACTACGTTTCGGTGTTTGTTCAATGTGTATGCGGCCACACGACGAAATTCGAGATTGCTTTTGCGGTCTGAGTGTCGTCAATCGCTAACACCCCCGGATGGCCACCCAAGATTGAATTTCCTACTCCTCTTCACAACATGTTGGAAAGGAAGCGAAAACCAGCGCTACTAGTTCACCTATCCGCCGAGGTCCTGAACAGGGTCGGTCCTATCGTTGCTACTTTTCAAAAAGTTTTTACGACCCCCCTCCCTCATGAAGTGGTTCATACGATCCCCTCTTTCAAAACAATTTTTACCCCAAAAATTATCGTCGAGCGAGGGGGGGGGGTATATACTTCCTATTTCTTCCCATAAAACCGCAGAAATTCCCTACATTTCCCTGCCATTTCCACCTATTTCACCCATATTTCAACACTCTATTTTCTAAGGGGAGGGGGGAATACACGTGCGCTCAAACGGCAACGGCTTCCGCGCCACTCCCCACTCAATCACATGCACTTCGTTACAACCGAAGCAGTACGACCCCCCTCTACCAAACTCATCAAAATACGACCCCCCGTTGCTACTTGTAGCAACATAGGGTTGACCCTGGTTCTGAATCAGCGCTGCGTTGCGCAGCTAAAGAATCGTGCGACTGAAGACACTTACCAAGGTCGATTAGGCATGTATTGTAGTTGAGGAGGCTTTCGTGCGACCGGCTCGATCTACAAATATCAGAACATCGCTTACTAAGGAGCACAAAACACAAAACACAAGAAAATGAAACAGTAGAAAAAAAGGGACCCATTCTGGTGCAAGAGACTTGGCCTTAAAAATGGATGACACCTTTGGGAATCCATAAAACATTGCCCTGAACAGGCGAAACTGCAGCAGAATAGCCAAGGATAATGCCAACAAAGCCGTATGTAACCATCTTCAATTTGTCTTGAGCCGGTCGAAAATCTCGCCCATTTGAATCTTATGACTTTGCATTATCCAAGAGAACCAAGCTGTCATCAAATGGCTTTAGCGCTAAAAATTAATGCCATATTCGTCAACAAGGCACTGTTTTACCACTGCATATAAGATACAGCAAATTTTAAGAAAACAAGCGTCAAAATGGTGCAAAATGGCAAGGTGTCAACGCCAGACTTAAAAGTCACTCTGGCTTAAAAGTACTTAATGCCTGGGCACCAAATAACTCCTGTAGATGAAGGGCTTCTTTGAGCTTTTGGAGATGTAGTACTGGAGTTGTGCAGATTAAAGGAGCAACGCAACATGTAATGAAGAAGAAAGCCCACAGCTTAAAACAACACAAAAGGAGAACCGTAAACTGCAGAGTGGCTCCAATCAGGGTCAGCCCTATCGTTGCTACTTCTTCAAAAGTCTTTACGACCCCCCTCCCCAAGGTGGGCTTGGCAAGACCTCTTTTTCCACATCTCGACCACCATATTCCTCTCTATAGTATTTAATTCTTTTAATTCTGGTACCACTCATCCCACCAAACTCCGCCCACTTTTTCCTCCAAAATTGCCGTCGAGCGGGGAGGAGGAGGAGGAGGGGTATATAGCTCCTCTGAAACAGTAAAAATTTACCTCAACTCCCTAAAGTTCCACCATCTTACTCTTCCTTTAACCCACTTTTACCCATCTTCCCCTTGCTTCATCTTCTAGCGCGCGCTGAAACGGCGAATTTTCCTCCCATGCGCTTCCCACTCATCTAGCCTACTACTCGTGAAAACTCCACTTTCACCACAAACTCACATGTACTTTCACGCGACTGAAGCGGATACGACCCTTCCTCCTATAACTCAACCAGCGACCCTTCCTCCTATAACTCAACCAGGTACGACCCTTCCCCCCCCCCGTTGTTACTAGTAACAACGTAGGATTGACCCTGGCTCCAATACAGGAATCGTGGCGCGTCGACTACCTACAACGTACTAATCATCGTGTATGGGGAGGGGGAGGGGAGGGTAGGAAGGGTTACTAGACTACTGAGATTTTACCAACGAAGGGGCGAATCGCTTTTGAGATTTCTGGATGAGAGTAGTATCAAGTTTTTTAGTAGAGGGTGGTGGCTCTGGAAGAAATATGCTGCAATGGACGGGGAACTGTAGAGTTGGATCTGCAGAAGGTGCCGTATTGGTGACTGTATCCCCAGCCCTCCCTCCTATACTACTAATTTTGCAATTTTTTTTTGGGGAAGTAGGCGGAGGAGAGCTGGTGTATGTTAGGCTATGGCATGTTCAACGGGAACAATCCAAACCTTCCATGCAAGTCATCAACCGTTGAAGATGTCGTGTGTGTGCCAGTGTCGCAAAAAGTTCGGAAGCAGCAAAACGTGACAAGACGATTGGCGCTGCTGGGGGAAAGGAATCCTTCTCGGAGAATTTCTGCATTCTTTTCCAACATGGGCATGTCAGTTGGGATCAATAGGGACAACACACAAAGTTTCACGCACGAAGATTCAGTCTTCGAAGAGAAACAAACTAACGAAAGCCACACTCGATGGACGGTTGAAGGTTGGTCGAGCGGCGCCAAGGGCGAGGCATGGGAATGTAATCATGATTTTTTCAAAAAGATTCCTTCAAGGGGCGTTTGTTACAGAAATTCACTTCCCCAATCTCTTTCAGTTCCCAAACTGCTGCAAGATACCTGATTAGACTGACTCTTCAACTTTATCATTCCATAAATTCTTCCACGTTTCTCAGCTCGATCCGAAGCGTAGCTGGCGAACGGATAAGTACACAAAATTGGATTGCGTGGACTTGATAACTGTTTATAGCAAGCAATTGGCATATTAGCCGTTAGGTTACTCCCTCTCCCTTCACCACCCCCGGTCTTCGCTCGTCCTCTTGGGACTAGAGTATGGGTGCTGTCACGTGGAGAAAGGTGGAGGCGAGGTGCCAAGTTGTTGTGATGGTGGAACGCAGAGGTTGGTGGCGGTGACCATTCCGAAAGATTGCATCACAACACCCGCTAAAAATAACGGGTACCATTACGCGATGCTTCGAAGTTCCTTAGTAGTGAGCAATCGACTAGTTTCCCTCTGCCCTTCGCCAAGCGACAGAACTCAGGCATTACGCCCGGTCCGCTCGGGGAATAGTTCAGCAGTACTGTCTCACGGCAAATGGCAGTAACGTAGAAGAGGTTAGTCAATCATCATCGCGTCTTTGCCCGACTTTTTGTGTTTACGTGGTAGTCTGGCGTCAAATCAATTAGGGTGTAGTAGGTTACGTTGTTGCTTCTCTACGTGAAGTCGAGAAGCCACTGTTTGGCTTATTGTCAGCGTCAATATCAGAATCAGATCTAACAGCGACGATGGAGCAACAGTGCCCATTCCTTCATGACACACATCTTCGTTGCTAGAATTTTTGTCTGACTTTTTCTTGAAGGTGTGAAATAGTTTTTCGCACTGCTCTCTGAAACGGCACACAAGACATGCAGGAGGACGAAGATTTTTGCCTGAGCTTGAGGTACGGGAAAGAGCTTTGAGATGTTCGAATTGTGAAGGTCACAGAAAAACGCAAATCTCTTCCTCCACAAGTAAATTTGTTCGCAAGCGTTGAGGTTCATAAAATTTTCCTGGTCCAGGAAGCTCCTTATGCAGCGTTGGAATTTTCGTTGTTCGCGCAAACTATTGGGGTAACCCCTCAGGAGGCCCGTCGCGCGGGAAGAAGGCAGAGTCGCGGACGAGTCGCAGCGCGTGATGTGCGATGTAGGACGTACAATGGAACATTCTATTCAACTTGACGCGAAATACACACAGTACGCGCGCAACTCGTCCGCTGACTCTCCTTCTTGCCGCGCGACGGGCCTCCTAGGGAGTTGCACCACAATGCCCACCTCACCTGCGGACCCCCCCCCCACCTTCTCCGATGAACGAACTTTTACCGATGAACATTATCTAAAGACATGCATAATAAAGTCATAAACTCAGAAGAAAAAGCAGTAGCCAAACACCGGTTTTTGAGTTCAAGCCGTGAAATCAGTTACATGTGAAATTGCAATCTATTATATAAACATTTCTACCACAATTTGATTGGTTTGACGTTGGGCTGCCAGAAAAGGCGTAGCCGCTCAGCTAGCATGCCTCTGCGTCTTTGCCTTTCGTCGTGTGACAAAACTTTGACGCTGCTCTCCATCTTCTCGGTGCGCCTGCTACCACTGTGACGTCAAAAGCACGCGTGCGTGCGCGCCGCCGGCTAGCTTTTCTCTAGATTCAGCACAGCTTGTACTCTAATCAATACACGCAAAATAAGAATTACATTTCGACATTTTGTGGAAGAAAACCTTTGACCAACGGTACGGTTGACTTGAGGGGCAAGGAAAGCGAGATCTTATTCTATCTCGCGAAAGGGTTGCATTACAAGCAATCACAGTGAGTGTGGGCCTAACATGTGCGCGGCGCGTCACGGTGATAGCGACTCGCTATGGCGTCATTAGCGCATCACTTGCACTACAAGCCGTGGCGAAGCCATGACGGGCGGTGACCTAGTTCCTGCGCCAATTGCTGCGCCGCAATCCCTGTCTACTGATAAACTTCCAAACACAGTTGCCATTAGCACAGCTACTATTATTATTAGTAGTGTGTAAGGAAAAGGCCACAGTCTTCGTATCGTCTCCGATAAAAGTTTGATCATGATGCATCGGCTGAGAAAAGAACCCGGGCCGCCCGCGTGGCAAGTGAGCATTCCACCACTGAACCACCGACTGCTCCTGTGTCCTAATTCCCCCACTTTCCAGTAATTTAGCCAAATTCTTAATAAGCAGTCTTATTGTTAACCAAGAAGAAACTCCGGTTAGCAGGTATCCAGAAAAGGTAGATGTAATTACAGGTGTTGACTAGAACATTTGAATTATAGCAGTACTTGCACCGGAAATTGTTGGGTCCAAAGCAATTGTAGGACACTCTTGTTGAGTATAACAGTCTTCTGGTCCAGTAAAGCTGTCCTTGAAGCTGGGACAGTAGCAGCGAATTTTGAAATTGTGTTAGGTTTTTTAATAAGGAAATTTCTGTAAATAAGGGCATAGTACGTAAGGACCATCGTACATGTCTAGGAGAACGAAGCTGGAAGTAGCAGCCCACCCTCTCAAGGATGGACGTCATTCGTCACATAACTGCTGAGTTGCTCTTATTTTTAATGGACCCAAAAACACTTTGCGACATTATTCCTTGAAAATGGCCTGGAACCCGATTCCCTGATATAAAACCCGCTCGGCCTTCCCATAAATCAAAACGGGTGCGTTCCCTGATGCGGACTAAGTGAGAAGAAAGATTTATCACCTGAGTGCTGTCCTTCCAATTGCCGACGACCTTCCGCCTCCAGAGGCGCCTCCGCCCCCGACGCAATTACCGAGGCCGCTACCCGACGTGGTGGTGACCGTCGCCAACAGGTTCTCCTGTGATCGTTGTGGATCCACGCGACTCAGAGTGCTAAATATAACGGATGCGAATATTTATGATGATCTCGATATCTCCCACTTTCATTCTGTCACTTTCGTTCTCACTTTCTCCCGCACTGACAAGAACTCTCTATTGATGAGTAAAAGTGTCCATCAGGAGGAATATCCTACCACGACGGATCATCCTCCGGATTCACTGTATATGTCCCACAAATAAGTCGAAGCTTGAACATTTGATGCTCCGGACTAAAGTCCTCAGGAGAAAACGTCTCACTTCAAGCCTTCGACAGCGGTTGTGAATTATAAGGGCTGAAAACTGTATTACTGTGGGTCGAGTGCCTGATGATTAAGAAGTGAAAGGTAGAAAAGAATTGAAGAGAAGTTACGGGAGAAATTTCTGTTGAAAAGTGCTTCAGAGAAACGATGTCAAATAAGTCAACATCAAGAAAAGCGAAACACTCGGCGTGAGAAGAGGCGACTGCTATTTACGAGCCCCTCACCAATGCTCGGAATCGGTGGTAATTACCGAAAAGGATGTTAAAATCCGTGGAGCGAACCCCAGACAAATGACGCTAGCTCAGCCTCACTTGCGGAGATCTCATGAAAAAGCTTCTAAAGATTCCACGATCATTTCGTTGCCACGAAGAAATCTTACAAATAATCGCAATTACATACAAGTGAGAGAAAAATAGAGATTCCGAAAGAGAAACATTTTGTTGCCAGCGGCGCTAGGGCGACCACATCCAAAATTGTTAGTGCGCAGGTGGCATTCCTCACCAGGAAAGTCTTCCAGGATATGGAGCACTTTTCAAAACGGTTTGTTGCATGCTATAGGTGCACGTGCGTGGAACATAAATCTAGTGATCGTTTTTTTTCTGAGCGGCCAAGGGATTGCCAAAAAAAGGGCAGAAGGTTTTCTTTGAGAAGTGGAGCTTTTCCAATTTTAATGAATATAGCATTTGTAGAGTTGTATAGTTGCATTTTTTCAAGTTTTTCATGCACTGAATAAGTTTAGACATTCACGAGCCCAAGAAAGTGTAAATCAAAGGAGTGCAAAAATTTGTTCTCAGTGGGGATCGAATCACAAGCTGGTTTTGACATGTTTTTTGGCAATCCTAGAGCCACTCAGAAAAAAATTCTCTTCAGTCTTACGCTCCCTGCTCGTTTCTCCATAACATGTAAAAATTTGTTTGAGAAAGCACTCCACGTTCCGAAAGACTTTCTTGGTCAGCTCGATGATCGAACTGTGCTAGCTACTCACTTGTTATGCTACATAGCTGTTAGGCACTATATTTTGTGCCAGGCTGGTACTTAGGTCTCCGGACATCTGTCAACCGTGAGCCTAGGCAATTCAGGGTTTTGTTGTGCTGTCTGGGAGCTCTTACACAAGCGCACTATTTCAGAATATCCGCTTTCTTTACCTCCTTTAAAAGGCTTAGTCCCACTACCACAGAGAACGTCTGCTTTTCCTTCTACACTCTCACCCCCTGGTTGGCAGAAGCCTTGTGACCAGTTACGTAAATGATTCGGTGAAAAACCTTTCAACACAAAAGCAAGTTACGAAATATTTGAAGTGATTATAACACAAAATTTTTTTTTGTGGACGCTACTAGAGGGTGCGTGGATGATCGCCAGCAATCGCGCAAAGTTCGAAAATCAGAGGCGGATAATGAAGTAGACCGGAACCGGTAGGAGCCGGCCGGATGTTGAATTTCGTAGCGGAAGCTCATTTTGTGGAGAAAGGAAGTGGCGCAAAAGCCAAAGAGCATGGCAGTCATAACGGCTATTGGGATGGGTTGGGATTGGGACACTATTTTTGGACGTTGTGCCATTTTCTACCCATATGCTATTTATCTATGATCCGTGCATCATATGTGATGTGGAACTGCCTGAGGTCACCCTGCTGCCTCTGCTGCAGAGGTTTTTTTTTATAGAAGACGACAACAACGAAATGTCGATGGTTGTATATAAACCCAATTAGAACTAACCAGGGTTGGATTTTTATTAAGGTGACATCTCGCAGAGCTCAAAGAACTTTCACAGAGGATGTTCGATCATTGGTTACATAAGATGCATAGAACTAGCAATACCGCTATAGGAGTGAGCCAAGCGAATAATGGACAGAGATCATACGATGTCCGGGAAACGGTGCCAGTTTTCGGTGTGCACATTTGGGAAGGATTTCTGAAATAAGCCGGTTACTTCGTCTACCTTATACTTACCTCTGTGGCTGACCAGGTAAGAAGAATCTTGAGTGATAAGCGTAAGAGAATGGAGTGGTTTGTACGCGTTCAGCAGCTTGGGTAGGAAAGGAAGGGTGAAACAACTAGAACAGCTCCTCAAAGGCCATGGTAGAGCTTGATAGAGTTACGCAGTGTGGCTGAGTAATTATTGAAGGAAAGAAGTATTGAGGTGCATGAGATCTCATGAAGTTGCTATTGCAGAAAACTAGTAACGGCTACGTATGCTGCACGATGCTGTTGACCTGTGTGATGGAAGGGATGAAGCTCTCGTCGTAGTGTAAATTCGCTTATACGAGCAAGAAGTTGATTGAGAGATGCGAGTTGCCGCTTGGAAACACTTTGCGACCACCTACTTGAGTGGAATCATTGAGAAAACCCTTCCTCACACTAAATAGTTTCCACAGAGTCACAGCGCGCAAATAATTGGAGGAATAAATAAGAGTGACTGAATTATGGCCGAGGTCAAATCTGGAAGTGAACGTTCAAAGAGTGAGTTGTTATGAATAATGAAGAAGCTGCTAGAAGGGCGAAGTGGTGTGTCAGTTATCCTCTTCTTCCTGTACACCTTTGCCATCATTACGTGAGCGGAAAATACAGCCAGACCCGTCGGCTATGCCTGTGCGTACGAAGTTGTCGAAAACTGGTCGGCTTTCGAAATAAGAACTGCTTTAGAGGTTCATCGTGGACGATGACGATTGGAGGACGTACGAGGAGATTGAGGAAAATGCGAGGATCAGAAGGACGGCATGAGCGCAAGAGTAGGGAGGTCTGAAAGGGGATAATGGTGAACGCGTGGCAACGACGACAACGCCGCCGCTGCACTCAATGGATCAGGCCAGATTTCGTCGTCCATTCTACCTGCTGGGTTATTATTGGGGCGATTTAACCCACAAAAATTGTCAATCGTACTGTAAATGTCAAAATAGAGAGGGAGCGATTCAGGAATAAGCGATTAAGATTTTCCAAGAATGGGATTTTCATTGTTTAGGTGAGCAGAGACGGATGCTAGTACCCAAATCTTTCCTGCACTTAATCAAATTTCTATTAGACAATTTTTTATAAACACAAAAATCCCAAAGATCCATCCTGGTGAAGCAGAAGTGGCTCCAAACTCTTACCATAAATGCAAAAAAAAATTCAAGTGGAAAAGTTCAAACAGAACCGCAAAAGTGGGATTTTTTGAAAAAAAAAAGTCGAAATGGAAAGTTTTCCGCCATGTGAATTCAGTACCCTGTTAATAGGACCTGTAACATCATTCCTCTCATCAATCTGCAGCATTCACGTTTGATAAAAAAGTCTAAAAGAGTCGGCTGCACACAAAAATTTGAACCAACCGTTTGGATTTGTACACAATTCGGCCACGAATCAGACGTGGATTCGCCGGTCGGCACTTGTTCGGCGATAGGCAGTACATTCTGCAGAGCAGTACAGGTATAAACTTGTTATGTGCTAACTGACGACGACTGATAACAGCACGTGAAAGATTTCAAAGGTTGCTGAACGTTGGGAATTTAGTCGTAGGGATTTAGATTTAAAGAGATCTGTCGCAGCTGGTTGAGAGACCGAGACCTCAATCCTTCCATATGAACGTCGGGGGTACAGAGGGGGTTGTCACCGGCGGCGTCGCGGCGATCACCGACACCGGGTCTTAGGATATAGACTGGCTGATTGTGTATATGGATATATGGAATAGATGATCAGAACGGAGGCAACGTAATGAGATGAATCGAAATGAAATTCCAATCGCCACAGTGAACTGCTATCACTGGTAGACTCTTGTCATTCAGTCATCACAACGACGCATTCCTCACTATCTCTGTCCTCACATTACATCTGCTCCCACAGAGCTGAAAAAGCATTGGAATGAAGCAAAAACTCATCCCCGGCCGTATTTCCACCGATTTGCGGTCAAAGACAGATTGTTTCAAGCTCTATAGGGCTTCCTTTGTTTGAACTATGGAACGGACTCAAGAAAGCATGAACAAAGCAAAATGAGCATGAAAACGTGAAACTCATCACAAGGACATAGAGCTTCCAGTACTGATAAAGAAAAAAAGGATAAAGCGTTTGCCGTGATCAATCCCTTTTTGGGATGTGGTATGCATTAGTTCCATTTGTACATGCGTAGCGGCACTTGAATGCGATAGGACCTACACAATGACTTGCGGGAGGCAGCTGATGTCATTGTTGATTCGCAGTGTTTTTATCCTCCCAGAAAAGTTTGGTACCAATTAAACGACCCCGGAAGAATGGAAGGCATGGTTGCTCCGGATGACGCACGACTCAGGATTCGATCCCCGGCCCGTGCATGTGGTGAGCCTGCCACTTGCCACTACACAACTTCCCCCTTTACAGGTGAAGAGTGGAAAATCTAAAATGCCCTGTACAGGCCCAAAAATCTCGCGCGGAAATTCCACTACTACTTTACAATCTCTTGGTTATAAGAAGCCCAGGAAAATAATGGCCCCAGTGGCATCACACGCTAAATAATTCATACGGCATTTTTTTTCGAAATCATTCATTTGTATTGGGACGCGCCACCATCTGTACGTTTGCCATTAATATTCGCAGAAGTGAGTGATAGCGTCGAAAGCTCGACCCTCAGGCTTTACAGCAGGCCACTCGATTACAAGTTTCTGTGGAACGAGAAGAAAAAAAAATAGAAAAAAAAGAAGCTGTGTAGGATTGGTAACGGGAGGACTCCTCAAAAGATCTGTGGAAAAATTCGCTGAAAGACGAGGTAGCGGCTGCAATTTCTCGACGGCAGAATGCATTCACTAGAAAAGTGCGATAAAAAGATGACCTCCACAGAGGTTCTTCTCTAGTAATTAATTCGACTACAGGAGGAAGGACAGAGAGCATCAGAAGAAAGTCTACCATAATAGGGCAACAGTGGTACCAAGCAGTACCAGTCCTAGGGATAATACTTCTTATGAGAGTGGCAGTTTATAATTAGCACCATCTCTAGGACTGAAACTACTTGATATTTACCAAGGACCATGAAAAAGAAGCGGAACATTTTTGTTTAGACTAAATTAAAATGACAGTGGAACAAGTCCAGAGTAAAGAGTGTGAAGAAGAGACAAGGTCCGAAATCAAAACTTCGACATAAATCTACAAAGGAGTAATGGAAGGATTTGGAAGGATCTATTCCTCAAAGAAGCAGTTCCACGAGATAGTGCACATACGGCTAACACACCATATACACGCGGATACACACATATGTATATTTTACACATATACACACAAACACACGCTCAGTCATTCGGCTCACTCGCTCGTGGTATGTGTAACGGAGGCTCAGACGGCGTAGCCAGCACGGTCGCTGGCCGAGGCGGTGGCGATTTCTTGCCGGAGAGACACGCTCGACAAATGGCATTTGAGACGTCGAATTTACGACCTCTCACCTCATCCCTCAATCACTTGTTTTTTACGATCGGCTGGCCATTCAAAGTTGTACGACATAGAAAAGTTCGCTACGTGCCTCGAGTTAGAAAAATTCCCATTCCTCCCTCTGCTCCGCCCTCGGTACGTCCCCTAGCTTGATTTTGAGCTCACAACTTCAGGACTTCCGGAGTTACGCAAAGGTAAACGAGAGGGCAATGGCCGCATCAATGATAACACGTGAAAGAAGGATCTTTTTAGCAACTGTTTTCAGCACTCTGTCGCATCAACTAGCCAAACGATGAGCATTCCACAAGAATGCTGGGTTGTGAACAAAACTTTCGCCCCAGGCGGGACTAGAACCCGTACCTCTCGCTTTCCGGGCAAGTGCGCTACCGGGGCACCATTTCATTCCAACTCAGCATTTCATGGCATACAGCAGTTGTTAACAAACAGCAGTACAAACAAAGCAAGTCAAAATCCACTGCTAAAGCTTTCAGCCTCGCGGTCATTGCCGATACCGGCTAAGTGCTCAACACGTTAGACGTGTGAGTGCTGAAAGTAATGGTACGTATACCATGAAAAGCTGAGTTGGATTGAAATGGTGCCCCGGTAGCGCAACTGGTAGCGCACTGTCCCGGAAAGCGAGAGGTGCGGGTTCTAGTCCCGCCTGGGGCGAAAGTTTTGTTCACAACCCAGCATTCTTGTGAAACATTCGCAACGCGAACTGCGGCGTTAAAATAGCAGTTAACAAACAAACAAGATGAGCATTCCATTACGAAGAAAGCTGATCATGAGTGCATTTCAGCAGGATGCGCCATGTTTCCAAGCTTGACTCGGAATCGCAGCGATTCTTGATTTTATTTAGCACCGATGTCACAACGCTTTTGTGATCTCTATAGCCAAATTTCCTATCGGATAGATAGCGCTTGAAGGATCGCATCCCTTTTATCTTGCGGACGGACAACTAGGTTGTGACACCTCTGGCTCTTGGGCTACCGTCCGCTCTCGGATATATTTGAATGATACGCAGCAAATGTTTAAAAAATGCACGAGCACAACCACTATCTGTACCCAATCTTTTTCTATATTTGTTAATAGTTTGCTCACGTTTTGGGAATGAGAAAGAATTGGATCAAAAAATGAAAGTGCCTAATTAATAGTTCTGGGCCATAAAGTCTGTTTCGCATGAGTTACAAGTGCACATTCCTAACAAACTGGATAGGAACTAGAGCCGTAAAGCTGTTTTAAGCTCTACTTTTGAGGCTAAGGTCCCCTCCCTCGACGACCCACAATAGGACTTATCCCTCGACAACCCACAATAGGACTTATGATCACGAAGTTTTTCGGTGCGTAGATTAGAACACCAAAATAAAAAGTTACCTGTTACCATTTATTTACTACTGCTAAATGTTTAGCTATTTACTGTTTTGAGTTCTCAGCTGCCAGACGTTCAGGATAGGGTCGGTTAAGCAATTGCAGGAAAGAGAGCAAAAGCGATCGAGTTATATTCTCACAAGACAACACAATATGCCCTCGAAATGAGATCGCCGACTTCTTCAACTCACAGTCAGAGATGTTCTGGGCCAAAAGAATAGGCAATAAGGCCGATAGATGAAAAGAGGTCACAGAGTTCTATGATGAAACACTGACGGCTGAAACGTGAATATTCTTAAAAAGCACTAAAATGAAAAAAGCGCTATAAAAAACTACTAAAACTGCCCATTACTGAGAAATAGAGCATCCGAATAGAGCATTAGAGCGAAAGTCGCGGTTCACGTGCTGTTCCCTTTGCTCACTTCTTTATGTTAAAAAAAATCCCCGTTATACTGCTAAAACTGAATTTAAATTTTCCTGTAAGACAGCCAAGTTGGATGTTGAAAATGGGAAAAATAAAATAACAGCATTTGAATAATTTCGGAGCATTTGAAGGGGAAATTTCCGAAGATCACTCTGCACGCCTACTCAAGCATCTAAAGCTCCTTCTCCGAAGTAAACTCTTAACAGGAGTTGGTTGGATCGAAGTGCAGCAAAAGGACAGAGAGCAGTTGTTGACCCATGCCTGCTTATCTATTACCGTTCTGTTTTCCTCCACATCAATCAATAAACGACTTCCTGTTTGCGTCTCGATTTTTTAGCTGTAAGCCTCTTAGGCAATTTCCGGAGTTCCGAACCAAAACTACAGAATGGTCACTGGAACCCTCTCTTTGACCAGCACGGACACCAGCCCACTCGAATCTGGCTATATTTACAGTAATGCGTAATTTTTTGTAGGCAGGAAAGCAACTATTTCCAGAAGAGTTTCCATACTCCAAGATTAAAAAAGGGAAGCCTGTAAGAGAAGTCACGTCTGGCTCCAGACAGGATGTTGATGGCTTTTCAACGGAAAGCTCACCAACGTCGGCAGAAAAAATGTTCTCAATAGGCAATGCCGAAACATACGCCAAGTGTCCCTGGTTTGCCCCGAACAGACTCGGAACAGGAAACCGAAACTGGTTGCGGCATATCCATGCGCATAGAATGGATATGGCTGCGCACGCAGTACAAAAACGGCTAATATTCGATCCGTTTTCACGCTTGGAAAGTCTAGGTTATCACATCCAAGCCCATGACAGCGAACATGAATATAAATTTCTCAGAAACGAACAGGAAGGCAAGAAAATATTTCCGACAGGGTAATTGTGAATTATTAATTTTGAAACACAGCCAATGGAGCCAAATAACTCAAACTGCGCTTGGGATTTCTGACAGGCAGCAGTATCTTCAGTATAGAGTAATCAATCTCGTAAAATGGAATGTAGCCAATTTCTGGAAGTTGGAAACGAATATTGAAAGGAATTCAAGGTTGAATTTGGAAAAGTGAAGCTATTCTATGTAGCCTCGAAATGCATAACACTGGCAATTCACATCGATCAAGTACACTCGGGTATCGTAAGAAACCACGCCGTCATGAATCCAGTTTTTCCAGGGCAATTAATAAAATATCAAGACAAGGTCTCACTTAGGACTTTAAATTTTATATCAGCAGCG